GAAAATGATCTTTTCCTCTTGGTCTGTATGTATATGGATGTATATATGTGGGGAGAGCGATGGTGTATTGAAAATGTGGGATCTGAGCATGACGTGAATGGTATGGAATAAGGGGTGGATAATGTCCTGGGTTCAGCAGTAGCAGTCATGTTTCTCCTTCGTGGTAGCTGGTGCAGTGCTGTGTTTTGACTTCCAGCCGGGGAACAGTGTTGGTGAAGCCGATGTTTTCGGTTGTTGCTAAGTGATGTTTACCCTGACCAAGGACTTTGTGAGGCTCATGCTCTGCCAGGGAGGAGGGGAAGCTGTGAGGAAGCAGAGACGGGGTGCCTGACCCAGGCTAGCCAAGGAGGTATTCCATACCACAGCACGTCATGCCTGGGGTGGGGGGTAACTGGGAGTTACCCGGAAGGACACGGGCTTCCGGGTGGGACTCGTTTCTTTATCATTGTTGTTGTTGTTAGTAGCAGTGGTGATTTGTGTTGTACATCGGTTGCTGGAATGTTCTTGTCTCAACCCGTAGGAGTTGCACCCTTTCTATCCTCCTCCCCATTCCTCTGGGAGCGGGGAAGGGGAGAGCCCCGGTGGGGGGGGGGCCTCGATTGTTGTCAGCCTGACAAGTTGCCTGACTGGGTTTAAACCACGACAGTGGTTTATGCTTTTGAATACTGGGAGCATAGGAAAAATACTTGTAATAGCTATAAAGAAAGAAAGGAACTGCATAAAATACCAGTTGACCATAAATTTCCACCTCTCAGAGCGGAGCTCTCTACAATGTCCACTAAACTTACCTATTGTCTAGATGCAGCTCCATAACAAAGTCTGCAGAAAATCTTAGGTCTTGCTCTTCCTCTAGCTCAGATGACAATGGACAAATTTGCAGTATACGGTTAAGGATAATGGATCTTGGTTGTAGCAATTATTTCAGAAAATGAAGTTGAAATACATGACTAAACCAATATTAAGCCACTGAACATACTTGGACATTTTCAGCCAAGAAATTTCTGTAGTTAGAAAAAATGAGTCCCATAGTCTCTAAAACTGAATTAACATTCTGCAGGTGAGCATGGTCTTGGCTCTCAATAAAGGAATAATAATTAAAAAAAAAAAGAAGTGATGAGGTTATTGTTGTCCTTCTGTTTGTAAATTAAAAGGTAAGTCAGGTAAATTTTAAAAGATAGTCGAAGCTAGAGATAAAAGCAGGATTCAAAGAAGCACTAAGAAGACCCCATGTACAAATGCCAAAAACAACTGGAAAATTAGTCTTTTTTACAGTATCTGATGCTATACCTCCATTAAATCTAAATACAATAATCACCTTCTTAAAGAGTTATTTCAGTGATGCAACTGATACTGAGAATTTCATTATTATCTTCTACTGACATACAAAACAATATAAGCTATTTGGTGGGTACTTGTATAGATGCTGAGATTCTGAGTTTATGGAATAATATTTTTTAAAAAATTATAAAATCAGTCAACATATAGCAATGAAACTGTAAAAATAAACTTTGGAAAAGGAATATAGTCTAGATTTTTTAAAATATTTTAGGGGTGGTTTTTTATGTTGAACACTTCCTGGTGTTAAGAGATCTGGCTTGTTATTTGGATTTTTTGCTGTGTTATTGATTGTTTCATTTGCTCATTGTTTGCTTGCTGACATTTGGGTAGGAAAATGTTCCTGGGTTTTCTAAACATAAACATTGCTGTCTGTACTGTTTTGAAATAGATTCTGTCCCTCTGCGATCACTCTTGAAATAAAGAGTGTATTTGATCTTTGGAAACCCTGGATCTGCAAAGCCAGATTTTTTTTTCTCTCTGCATTTACAGGAGCAATCCTCAGGCTGCTGGCCTGTTACTAAAACATAAAATCAATGCTTTTTGATCTCTGCGCACATCAAGAATTTTATGTTGGTACAGAGGAAGGAAGAAGGAGAGGGATAATTGAAAATTCAAAACTAGCTCTGCCCTGATATCAGACAGCCTTGTCTACACCTGAAGGGAAAAATCTGCTCAGGTGCTCAACTCTGAAAAACATTTTTAGATTTTTTTTTTTTTCTGTTTTTGAACATCTATTAGAAAAGCAATTGGTGTAATAGAGCACTTAAAGAAAATTCTTTAACAGAATTTGCAAGGAAAAGAGGAAAGGGAGTGTGGATCTCTAGTCTTATGACTGCAGACACTGGATTGGTAGCAGTCAGAGCAGGAGGCATTTTTGGTACTTTAAACCACTCTGGTATATCTACTCTGATTCTCAACACATAATGTAGTTTAACATCATAACGTGCAAAGGAAAAAAAAAAAAAAGACTGTCTATTGACCTCAGGACAGTGATGATATAAGTAAAAACTTAATCTGATAAGCACAGGTTTCAACTCTGATATTAGATTTCTGTATTGCTTTCTTTTTTTTTTTTCCTCCAAAAGATTGCAAAAATAATAATTAAAAAAAGTGCATAAAAGTGTTATATACAATAGTTACACACCAGTTATACACCTGCCTATTATATACCAGTCAAATCTGATACAATATAAGGTATGTCCATAAATCATAGCCGACTTTAATTCACGTAATTAAAGAAACTTTGACTCTACTATATGTGTTTTCTTTGTGGATATTTTGCAGCCTTTGCATTGTGTCAACCTACAATTATAAGAAACGTTTCTCTTTAAACTTTTACATCAGAATTTGGTAGAAGGCAGGTAAAAATTAGGGTATATGCTTTCATTTTTCTTTTATTTCATGGTGATAAAACTGAAATCAGTTTACTGGATGTTGAAGTATTACATATAAACATGCAATTCCTTCTAATCAGGTCAGTCCCTGAATTTAATCTAATGAGTTAATATCTTTAAAATCAGTGGATACAGGTCATTTTTTAGGAGTTGTTTTTGAGAATACAGTTGCAGGATCTGTGGTTGATGCTTTCTCCATGTCAAGTAAAATATATTTAGATTCAGACATTATTTCATCTTCCCCAACACTGGACATTAATCTGGACCATCTTGTCTATACTGTGTTTTGTCAAGCAAGGTTGGCACAGATGATTTTTGAAGTGCCTTCCAACCAGATGTTCTATGCCTTTGTAATTCTGTGATTCATATTCTCTTGCTTCTTTCTTATTCTACATCAATAAGAATTTTATTATTGGAGAGGAAAACCCACAACACCCTGTATATTAATTTTGAAATAAATTGCTCTTTAATGTCAGAATCACGAATCTTTGTTTCCTTTGATATGGTAACATACTATTCAATTCAGCTCTTTTTAAAACTAGGATTTAATTTCTTCTGGTTCCCTCTCCAAAGTGTCTGATAACATGTTATGATCTATTCATTATGAAATTTAAAACAATGTTTTTGCATGATTGCGAGTGACATTTCTGACGACTACTTCAGATAAAGTGAAATTTGACCTTCTCCTCAGTATTCAGCATATGCTTAGAAGTAACAATCTTTGAACAGATTGATAACAAGTGCAATCAGCAATTAAATCAAGCTTTTTTTTTTTCAACAAAATACATGGAGATTGAGCCACATAAAAATGTAATGGTACATGACAGCTATGTGATGTATAGCGTAAGCATACTTCAATTCAATTAGTGGAAAATATTAGTGACAATTTTAGCTTTAGGGAAAACAAACAAAAAGCCTTAAAGTTAGGGAAACACGGAAGATGACCAGCAAATTCCTTGTCCTGTCTACGTATTTTGTCCTAGTTTCAGCTGTGACAGTTATTTTTCTTCCTATTAGCTGGTGCAATGCTGCCTTTTAGTTTAAGAATAATGCTGATAACACAATGATGTTTTAGTTGTTCCTTAGAAACACTTACCTTGATCAAAGACTTTTCAGTCTCTCATGCTCTGCCAGTGAGGAGGGGCCCAAGAAGCTGGGAGCAAGCAGAAATAGGACACCTGACCCAAACTAGCCAAAGGGGTATTCCATGCCACAGCACCGCTGCGAGGGACAAGAAAGACATGCCCTCTGTGTCAGGCACTGACGAGGTGCCGTGCTGTGCCACCTTACCTTCTGGCACACCAACAGGATGCCCAGACTGGTGCTCAGGGTGGCTGGCACAACCTGCTCCACCTCCAACACTACCTAGAGGGAGTGTGCACTGTGACCAAGTGAGAGCCCCTTTTGCCCGCTCCTCGGGGACTGCATGCCCCACAGCACCCACTCCCTTGGGGCTGATGGCGGGGGGGTCCCCACTGCTCAGAGAAAGTGCTGCAGACTGGTGATGTCCAGACTGCTGCAAACCCCAGGGAGATGAGCCTGCTCGGCTCAGGCTTGACAGTGCCTCTGTCCCCCTGCCAGGGAGATGATGAACATCTTGAGACAGCTGCGCTCCATCCTCTTTTATAGTCTGCTGGATCATCTTAGTGTGGAGCACCCCACATGGGAGATGGTTGCCATGGTTATGCTCGCTCAGGTGAGCCCAATGCCAGTGCCCCAGGCTGCCGCTGGTGCTTGGCTGTCTCATGCCCAGCACTGTGCTGCAGAGGGAGCTGGGGTGGCGGGTGGGCTTTGGCTGGTACCGTGGAGAAGCAGGCAACCAACCAGTGTTTTGCAGAATGACTCTAAGAGCAGAACCATAGAGTTCTGGAGGACTGTGCAAGCAAGGCAGGGGGTGGCCCCCACAGGTGGCCGGAGACCGGACCTGGGAGGAGAATGTGGAGGAAGCTGTGGGGGCTAACCAATACTGTTATGCCAAGAAGGAGTGGCTGAATACCACTCCTATATATGTGTGAACTGCGTCACAAATAAACTAGAAGTTGCTTATCACCCATATTGGGTTGGCCTGTCTGCTTCTCCTCGCTGCTTACACCAGTGCAGTGTGCTGTGGGTCATGGGGGCTCTCTGCAGTTCCTGCCACCTCCGTCTGAGCTTGCTCTTGCTGCAGTGTCCTTGCCTTCAGCTGATGGTTGGAGCCAGCACTGAATCTCACCAGCTTCTCCTGTGTGTTTCAGGTGCTGAAGTGCACCAACACTGGCGATACTGTGGCTGTGCTGTGAACATCTTCCCCAAGTACCTGCAAGGTCAGTGCGTGGGGATGGTCAGACTGGTGCTCAAGACTCTCTACGGGCTCTCCGAGAGGCTCAAAATGGTGTGCAGGGGCTCTGCTGGAGAAGGGGCAGCCGAGGGGATGGCAAGAAGCCCGTGCTGTCTGTCCTTCCCCTCTGTGTCCTGCTCTTCCCCTGGCCATGCCAGTGAACCCAGTCTGCTGGGCACATGCTCGCCCTCATAACCTCTGCTGCGTGCTGAGGAGCCAGCAGGGAGGCCGGTGTTTGCAGAGAGGTTTTTTCACTCCTGCCATCAGTCACTGCGTTACAAAAAACGAGGTGGCATGTCTCACAGAGGCAAGAAAGATCCTCACCCTGATGCCAAAGATCGTGGCGTGCCTGCAGGATACTGACAGCGATGCCGTGACCATGGCCATCCTTGTGCTCAACAACTTACTCCCGCTGCTGGAGGAGAAGACACTCGGCTTCCGTGCCCTTGCCATTGCTCTCAAGCTCCGGTTGCTCTTTGACAATGTAAGGCTGGGGAAGAGCCCTGTGCTCCCCACATCAGGCATCTCCATTCACATGGAGCCATGTGCTCTACAGGGGGATGCTTTGCCCCACTGCCCCCAGGCTCCATCGCTGCCCTCAGTGGCTCTGTGCTGTCCCCCATCCCCTCCCCTCATGGACTAAGCCTGCCTTGGCCTCCCTGCTGCAGGAGTTGGTGGTGCCAGGGCAGGGCTGCTGAGCCCCATCCTCCCCTGACAGTATCCCCGAGCCCGCCTGGGGTCTGCTGCTGTGTTCCCCAGCCCCGCTGGGCAGCCGTTCTGCATGCTGCAGCTCGCTGCCTTTTGGAGCAGGCTGTTTTGGGAACATCCATTTCCACGTCAGCCCCCTGCTCGCCATGGGCTTGGAGCTGAGGTCTTTCTGCCACAGGAGTCAGACACTGTGAGGCAGCTCTCCATCTGCTTATTCCAATAGGTGATGGGGCTTGTGACAGATGCTGAAAAGAAGAAGATGAAGAAGGAGGTGTGGGAGACCCTGGTGCCACTGCTCTTTCACCTGCAGTACCAGAAAGAGAACGTGGCCAACATGAGATTCCCAACCAGATTGGTCCTTTGGGCAGGGCACTGGTGACACCGGGGCCTTCAAAGGTGTGTCACCATGAAGTCTAGCTTGCTGAGGCCCTAGGACCAGCCAGAGCCTCCCCTCACCTGCTGCTGCTTTTCTCCTCCTGCCTCCCGAATGAAGAGGGTGGTGGGTCCCTTTTCCCAGCCAGCTCCCTTCACACAGTCCCTGCCATAGGGCATGGGGCCCTACAGCCCCAGAGACAAGGCTATTGCTCCACAGCAGCCTGAGGCCACCAAGAGGAAAAGGCTGCAGCCTCAGCACAGGTTCCAGGCCCTGCTAAGACAGAGGACACAGGGTGCTGTGCCTCCAGGGCTGGTGGTGGCATCTCTTCTTCTTCCCAGGCCTCCCAGGAAGCCCTCTACTTCACCGGCTGGTTCTTGAAGTGGCAGGAACTGACAGAGCTGGCCCTGACTGCAAACCCATGGGAGATCAGAGAGTGCTGGTGAGCAGAGCCCCAGCACTGCTGGGATCCACACCAGGAGAGCCCTGGCCCATGGCCATCGGGGAGGACGCAGGGCTGTGTCCCGCAGCTGTATGCACCTTCCTGGAGCAGGCTCTGTTCCAGGCTGTCCTCACCCCCAGGGTCCCAAGGGGGACCCTGCCACCAGAGTGGCACCTCAGCATCAGTGGCAAACCCTGTGCTCCCTCTGAACCGGAATGCCACAAGGTGGAGAGAGGGAAATGTCCTGCTGGTGGGAAGAAGGGTGGCCCTCCATGAGGGGAGAGCCCAATATGAGGGGAAGCTCTGTGCCAACCCTGCACCCTTTTCTCTTCAGCTGGAGAGGAAGAAGAGGGAGACAAAAGACTTCCTGCATCAGAGTGAGGTCTACCTGCAGAGCCCACAGGAGATCCTGAGGCAGGATGTTGTCAGGTTCATCAGTGAGCCATAAGGCCTGGGTCCCTCCCTCTGACAGGGTCCCTGCATCCCAGTCCAGGACCTGCAGAGCATCTCTTGGCCCCCTCTCAACCACTCCTGACTGCACACTTTGGGCTGGCAGGAGGCTCATCCCTTCCTCGACACAGTACCCCAGGGTAAGCCCTCCCTGGGGAGCTGTGTGGCCAGATGGGCTGGGTGCAGGGGTCCCCAACAGGCAGCGGGTTCCCCAACATACTGCATCCACCCAGGGCTCGTCAGACAGGACGTGGATGAGTGCAGGATGACGGAGTACATCAAACAGTGTGAATGAGGGCAGTGGGGAGGAGGAAGTACTCTGGCACAGAACTGCCCCAGGTGAGGGGTGCTCTGCTCTCAGTGCATCTATGGGGGGAGTGTGTTTGTGAAGAGGGGTGTTCCTGACCAGCAGCCTCCAACTGAACCACCTGCCCCCTGGATCCCTCCCAGCCCTGGGCATCATAGGGTGTAATGTGCCCTGCCTGGAGGGGACACAGGGCTGTCACCTCACCTCTCCTGCTTTGTCCCCACAGCCCTTGAAGGCCCAAGAAAAGATGCCAGCACCCTCATCTCCTCCTTGGTGACTCAGACCATCCTCATGCTTGAAGAAAGAAGGATGAGTTCGAGGCTTAGCCTACAGTGTCTACGCTCACTGCTGCTGAGGGCATGGAGGAGGCTGTGCTCGGCCCCCAGCAGAGACTTGTGAAAACCTTGTGAAGTTCAAGAAAGCAAAGTGCAAGGTTTTACACCTGCGTCACGGCAATTCCAGGCACAGCCACAGGTTGGCTGGAGCACCCCCCATACAAAGACAGGCTGAGACATTCGGAGGTGGAGAAGAGAAGGCTGAGTGGAGGCCTCATAGCAGCCTTCTCATGTCTGAGGGGGCCTACAAGGGCATCCAAGTCCCTGACTTTTCATCAGGGACTGTGAGCCACAGGGAGTTCCCTGTCCCAAGGCCCCTTCCTGGTCAGAACAGGGCCATGGCTGTTCTGCTCCTCCAGGCTGCCAGGGCTGCCCTCGCGACCCTGTTCCCTTGCAGACCCTGTCAGCAAGGGACAGCATGTTACAGGTGCTAGTGTGCAGTGCCAGCACCCTCGGCTGTGGGAAATGCTGCACAAGAAGCTGCGCCAGCAGACCTCAATGAGAGCACGAACATCCTGACCCTCATCAACTGCAAACCATGGGAGTCAAGAGGAATCAAAGTTAAAACACCGAGATAATCTCTGAGAACTGTAGATATTGAAACAAAGACGTTACTGAAGACAAAGATGTAATGTTGTAACCTGGGCTTTCCCAGGAGCTAATGAAATTCTCCAGTGTGGATGGAGGGGACAAAAGAATGTGTTCAAGGAAAATGAAAAGTAATAAGGTACCAGAAAGTGGTAACAGAAAAATGTGCCTATACGTCTGGGTACAAATATGTTGTTCAAGCAAAGGCGCGTGGACAATAATGTGATTGGTTGAAAAGGTGCATGATCAGTAATGTCAGTGGCTGGGAAAAGTGTATGATGTTGCGAAAAGTACCGAAAAGAAGCTAACCCATACTAACAATTACCAACTGCTAGGCAGGGCTCTATAAAAAGACTGTAAGCTTGCTCAATAAATGATTTCATTTGCACCACAACTGGAGTCTGTGCCTCAGTTGCCACACTCGGCACTCTCTTAAAAAGTATTTTGAGGTATTGTTTTTGCAGTTGGCCATCAGATGAATGGAACTGGCAGAACAAGGCCACGAGACACCGGCTACAGCAGGAAAAGTCTGGCAAAAACTGGGTTAGTGGTTACCATGTACAGGAGCCATACCATAGAAGGAGGTTGGTACGTGGGGACAGTGGGCTCTCAAGTTATGCAGTGTGCTCTGTAACCATGGCCTGACTTCATGCAGCTCACTTAGGCACTTCAGACACCCTGTAAACCTTGGAGTACCCAGCCAAAGGGAAATAAGGGAGGGACTCTGCAGCTGGAGATGGGAAATGAAAGGAAGAAGCCTTGTTACCAGGGTGTGCCTACTTACTAGGACAGCCGCTTTTGCCAAAATATTTAATAGCTGCTTCGCTGAAGTGCCTAACCTGAGCCTTTACAAGAACAGTTTTCAAGTTTCTGACACCCTGTAGCTGCAGAACATCTTCAAGGTCTGGCCTTGACACAGGGTCCCCTTGGGCAGTGACCTCTGGCTTGAGCGGTGACCCCCAACCCCCCCCCCCCCCCCGGCCAGCCCCTGCCTCCTGACTGCTGCCAGAGCCCCTTCTCCTGCCCCAGCGCACCCTGGTCCTCACCCACTGCCTGTACTGCACAACCCTCCAGATGCAGCTGCCTGTCTGGAAAAGGGAGCCCAGCCCTGGCGCTCTCCCCCTGAGGCTTCACAGGCCATATCCCAAAGCCCCACCACAGGTCTCCAGGGAGTCACTGGCGCCCAATTGCTGCTCATGTTAGGCTGGGTATCAGGCAGCTGGTGGTGAGCAATTGCGTTGTTCAGCACTTGCGTTTTCTGATATTGGTTGTTGCTGTTTCTTATTATCATTATTGCTATTGTTGACATTATTTCTTTTATCACTATGTTTTACTTTATTTTAATTATTAAACTGTTCTTATCTCCACCCAGATGTTTCACATTCTTTCAGTTCTCCTCCCCCTCCTGCCTGGGGGTTAGGGTTCAGGCTGGGGTATGGTGAGCAAGTAGCTGCATGGTACTGTGTTACCACCTGGGTTTAATCTATTACATATATATGTACTTCATTTTAATGACAAGTCTCATAGTTACTTCTTCTACCTGTAGACTAAGTGATCTATTAGTATCTTGCTTAATTCAGTAGTTCCAAACAAATTCCCTGGTTGCTAACCCTAAAAGGTTCTTGTCACACAGTCCTGCTATTGGACAACTATTCTAATAGATATCATGGAAACCAAAATTTATGTATTTCAGAGAATAATCCACTGGCAATGGATTTTACGGAGATTTCTTAACTTCAGGAGTTTCTGAAGGTTCTGTGATGGGAATTTATGACTTATGATGATGATGTTGGCTTCTTGAATTTAAAGAGAAGTAACACTTAATTGAAGACAGTGCCCCAAGTAGCAGAATATGCTGCCAGCTGCTGTGTTTAAAAAGAATCAGTCTCAGATAAATTGACGTAAAAATTCAAAATTTATCTGAGACCTAAACATCACAAAATATTCATATGACAATAGCATTGATTAAGCTTGCATAAATAAAAGAAAAATTTATTTATTGGGGCCAGTGTGAATAAGCGGAATTATAAATAAAAATCAGCATCACATGCTTTCTCATTAAAGGAAATGACTGTTATAATAATATTTTTAGTGCACTGATTGCATTTAAGTTTTGATATCTAATTCAAACTTATGTTATCTAAAATAAGGATGCACTTTCATAAAATAGTAAGAAAAGATGTAAAAAAATTGAGACTTTTAAGATGATAATAACTGGCTTGGATAAACAGCAGTTTTTGTAATACAACGTAGTATGACACAGTCTGAGGAAATGATTTTGTACTAGAATATTCCACATAATTTGTAAACACTTTTAACTGAAATAAAAAAAAATTATTGAAAATATACTAATATATGAAATAATAAAAAACTTGCATCAACATATGTCAATAGATAGGAAAATAAATAAAGAATATGAACTACTTTGTCTAAAGCAAAGAGATATAACTCCTAAATTCACAGTTAGCTTATGAAACAGAAAATACAAGGCTTTTGTTTTAGTCAAAAGGGAGCCCCTTTTCAGCACTTTCGCAAATCAAACGAGAGTTAATAAGCTCAGAAGAGTTAGACTTAGTCCAAGGGTGCAAACCAAGTCTATATTACACAGCTGTGCAGCATGCTATTCCAGCAGCCATGAGGCTGATGGACTATCCATTTAGTTATCCTGTGCCATAAACTACAGTATCTTAGCAGAATTCCTCTCTCTCATTTCAAAATGACATTTTGAATTTTGGGTTTTTTATAATGCTCTTTTTACTGCTTTATTTTCTGCTGAGCCTATTGATTTTTCTAACCTTTTGACAGCAGCTTTACGTGCCTTTTCTTTCTGCATAATTCTTCCTAATTACATTCAGACCACAAGACAAATTCTTATCTTCATTATAAAAATGGACAGGATCTGGTTTGAGGCCATCTTAAAAATCTGAATGTGCACAAGTCCATGGGTCCTGATGAAATCCATCCGCAGGTCCTGAAGGAACTAGCAAATGAAGTTGATAAGCCGTTGTCCATCCTATTTGAAAAATCATAGCAGTCAAGTGAAGTTCCCGATGACTGGAAAAAGGGAAATATAACCCCCATTTTCAAGAAGGGGAAAAGAGATGACCTGGGGAATTAGAGACCAGTCGGTCTCACTTCTGTGCCTGGCAAAATCTTGGAGCAGATTCTCCTGAAAGGCATGCTAAGGCACATGAAAATCAACAAGGTGCTTGGTGTCAGCCAGCATGACTTCACTAAGGGGAAATCCTGCCTGACCAATTTGGTGGCCTTCTATGATGGGGTTACAGAACTGACGGACAGGGGTAGAGCAGTTGATGTCATCTACCTGGACTTGTGCAAAGTGTTCAACACTGTCCCACACGACATCCTTGTCTCTAAATTGGAGAGACATCAATTTGACAGGTGGACCACTTGGTGGATAAAGAGCTGGCTGGATGGCCGGACACAAAGAGTTATGGTCAATGGCTCAGTGTCCGGCTCAAGACCAGTAACAAGTGGTGTCCCTCAGGGATCGGTGTTGGGACCGGTCTTGTTCAACATCTTCGTCGCTGACATGGACAGTGGGATTGAGTGTGCCCTCAGCAAGTTTGCCGATGACACCAAGCTGTGTGGTTCGGTTGACAGGCTGGAGGGAAGGAATGCCATCCAGAGGGACCTTGACACGCTTGTGAGGTGAGCTGATGACAACCTCATGAGGTTTAACCATGAAAACTGCAAGGTCCTACACCTGGGTTGGAGCAATCCCAGGCACAGCTAAAGGTTGGGCAGAGAAGAGTTTCAGAGCAGCCCTGCGGAGAAAGACTTGGGGGTGTTGGTTGATGAGAAACTGAACATGAGCCGGTAGTGTGTGCTTGCAGCCCAGAAAGCCAACCGTATCCTGGGTTGCATCAAAAGAAGAGTGACCAGCAGGTCAAAGGAGGCGATCCTGCCCCTCTACTCTGCTCTCCTGAGAACTCACCTGGAGTATTGTGTGCAGTTCTGGTGTCCTCAACATAAAAAGGACATGGAACTGTTGGAACAAGTCCAGAGAAGGGCCACAGGATGATCAGGGGACCGGAGCACCTCCCGTATGAAGACAGGCTGAGGAAGTTGGAGCTGTTCAGCCTGGAGAAGAGAAGGCTGCATGAAGACCTCATAGCAGCCTTCCAGTATCTGAAGGGGGCCTATAGGGATGCTGAGGAGGGACTCTTCATTAGGGACTGTAGTGATAGGACAAGTGCTAACGGGTCAAAACTTAAACAGGGGAAGTTTAGATTAGATATAAGGAGGAAATTCTTTACTGTTAGGGTGGTGAGGCACTGGAATAGGTTGCCCAGGGAGGCTGTGAATGCTCCATCCCTGGCAGTGTTCAAAGCCAGGTTGGACGAAGCCTTGGGTGATATGGTTTAGTGTAAGGTGTCCCTGCCCATGGCAGGGGTGTTGAAACTTGATGATCTTCAGGTCTTTTCCAACCCTAACTATTCTATGATTCTATGAAAAATAAATCAGTAAATCCACTAGAGTTAACAGAAATTGATTAGATTCACAGTCTGATTATGAATAAAAAATAGATCTACTGTCTTTTTGTATTCCAGTTTTTAAGCCAGGGAAGATCACAATGGGCTAAATTAATTTCCAATAGAACTATGCTAACTTCTGCTGAGTTGTAATAGAAAAAAAACAGATATTTTCTTTAAAATCTTTAATTGAAAA